TACTAGGTTGCACAGCAGGTCTAGGCAAATTGCCACGTCTATAAGAGTAACCTTAGTTGTCCTAGCTCTACTTCTTAGGAGTAGATTAATTAATTGTCGCAGCAAGGATTGAGGTGAGGGTGCATATCACGTGATCCGCATCTAGATATTGGACCGATCAGACACTGGCGATCTATCACGCCATGGTGAGCGGAATCGGGTATAGCTTGGAGCCGTGATTAGGGCTCTAATTAGGGTATAGCTAGATGAGCATTGGTGTATATATTCTGCTTATTCAGCACCGTAGATAGAATAAGGAACTTGATCACTTTCTTCACACTTGATTAATAATCAGAGACCACTCAGCTTCCACATTAATCTATATCCTCTAACTAGCACCTTAGAATTTCTAGCCTATATAAAGTCTCTAGGTAATAGCTGTTAAAACCTATAGATATAGTTAGGGTTGTTAGTAATATAACAGGTAGAACCTAAGTTAAGTATAAATAACTTCTATAGTAGATAGTTAGTAGTGTCCTATTAGTTTACTACGCTAAGTACTACTTTAATATTAGTAATTTCTTAGACCTCTAGTTAATTATCTAGGATTTCTAGAGTAGGGGTGTGTAAGTGCTTTACTACTAGTGTTCTTAATTAGCTCTTGCTTTGTGTATAAAGTAGCCCTTAAAAGGTAATATCTTCCTTACACTTAAACTTAATAAGTTTAGAAATAATCTTATTTAGTTTCTACTACTTACATTAGGAAAAGTTTTTTGAAATCTAGCCTAGACTGGCTGTTGCTGACAGTTGTGGCATGGTCGTGCAACGACTGTTCAACAGCCCCAACGGCCCTAATTTGCGCCTAACAGCCCCAATTTCGCGCCAACGTTGCCAACAGCTAAAACACTAAGTGCCCATATTTAACAAACTTAAAACGACGTTGCAACGTTGTTGCATGGCTACCCTTAGTGCTAGCACTAGTATTAAATATTCAAAAATTGCGAAATTTCACGTACAGATAGAGCGAAATTGTAGCTTTAAAATGAGCGAAAAATTATTGTTGTAGGCCTACTACAACGCGAGTTATAGAGCGTTGAAGGTTTGTTTGTTGAAGGTTAGTGTTTTGAAGTTGCGACAGCACACCACAGCAGCTGCAGCTGCGCCCGCACACAACATAGCAGCTGCAACAGCATACAGCATAGCACCTGCTGACCAACACACACACACACACATACACACAGCAGCAGCGCAACAGGAGCTTGCAGAACAGGCAGGCCTAGGCGTAGAATTCTTGGTTTACCTACTATTCTTGAATAATATTCTTATATTTTCTAACATTCAGGCTGCTAGAGCCCTAGCGAAGAATCTTAACTTAGTGTCTTGGCAAGGAACATTAAGCTTAAAACCTTCTATGCTTAATAACTATTCTGTTACTAGGCCTATAATGTTATTTAATAGCTTATTTTAAAGAGGAGACTTAGTAGTATATTAATATAATAAAAGTATAGTTTATTAAGCAGAGCTACTATTGTAGCAGGATTAGGAGTTGTTGTAGCCATTGCAGCCGTTAGGGCCGTTGGAGCTGTTAGCTCAAAATTGGCTAGACATTGAATGCACATTAAATAACTGTTGTAGGCCTACAAGTCCTACTGTTGCCCACAGTACAATGCCACGATTTCCCGATTTCAACAACGGAAAAACTTTTCCCGATGTAGGAGCTCTGTCTTAATTAATATAGTAGTAATCCTATATAGAGTAGTGTTGTCTATATGTAGGGTATTTTACTCCCCTAGTAGAAGTAGGCTCTTAATCTAAAGGCTGCTTAAGCATGGTGGTTTTCCTACCTGCTGTATATTATTATTAAGGTCTACCCTAGTTAGATAGCACACTTATAGTATATTAGGCGTCCCCTTTATAGCTCTAGGAGGCTGCACCCCCTTTAGTAAGAAATACTGTATTTTTAGCTATAAAGGCCTTATACTGCCCTAATCTAAGGGGATAATTTATTATTATCTACTCTTAGTAGCGTTTTATTATCTCCTTCTAACTTATACTAGATTTAAACTATCTACTATCTTAACAGCTTGTAGCCTAGATAGGTGTGACCCTATTTATAGCTATTAGGAAGTCCTTTATTATTATATTTAATTATAATAAATTAGCAACTTTGTATGTCTCTGCTTCTATAGCTACCTAGTTATACTTAGCTAGCTAGGTATCCTATTATAACATGCTTCTTATTAGCTTAAGTGCTAAGAGGTATCTATCTTAGGCTTATTCTTGTTTAATTTATTTATTAACCCTAATAGTAAGTTGTAGGTCTATAATCTACTATTATAGTAATTTCTTAGGAAGACAGCATGTGCGTAGTAGATATAGTAATATAGTTAACTAGATAAACACAATAATATACTAAAGGCTTGCTTCCTCCCTTTTATATTTATATTTATTATTCTTATATTATTTAAGGAGTACTTTATAGTACTAAAGGTCTTCCTTAAATGCCTTCTAGCCTATTATATATAGCTTAGTTAGCCTTAACAGTATATTAGTATTTACAGCTAGAACGTAGTTAGTAATAGTTAGAGCCCTTAGTAAGAGTAGCTTTAATAGTAGTAGTATAGTTGTCTTTAGGTTAATCTTGTCCTAGATATTGCGTAACAGGCATCTCGCATGTAGCTGCGCGAGCTAGCTAGTCTAGTTAGCTTAGTCCCTAAGGACTGTTGTTGGGTCGCAGTACGTTGGTTGCGCTATTTTGGTTGCGGCAGTAAGGTTGTGGCAGTAAGGTTGCAGCAGTGAGACTCTTAATTGTTAGATGCTTGTACTGTGAGCCAGAGTAGGCTGGCGGATGGGTAGGGTAGGGTAGGGTATAGGTATAGTCACGTGATTTATGGGTAGGAACTAGGTAGGGTACATGAGGTACCCTACCCAAACCGTTTGGGTAGGGTAGCACGTGACTGGGTATAGGTATAGGTAGGGTAGCACGTGACTAGGTATAGGTATAGGTAGGGTAGCTAGGTAGGGTCTAGGAATGGGTAGTTATTAGCAAAATCTAGGTTACTACTCTAGACTTTGTACTATTGTATACTTTAGAGCATAAGTATGTGATAATAGACTGTGATAATAAATTATAGATGCTTTTTCTTCTAAGTATTGTGTATGCGAAAGAATCTACTAGTACAACCTAGGGTTAGTTGTATACAAACTAGGTTAGTAATATACCCAAACCAAACCTATACCTAGCACGTGCTACCCTACCTATACCTATACCCAGTCACGTGCTACCCTACCCTACCTATGGTCCGTGTAACCCTCCCCTACCTATACCTATGGTCCGTGCGACCCTCCCCTACCTATACCTACGTCCGTGCGACCTATACCCTACCTATACCCTACCCTAGGTACATGGTACCCATCCGCCAGTCTACATGGTACCCATCCGCCAGTCTAACTCTACCTATGTGCATAAACTGCAAAGAGGCACACACTGCAGATAGCACACAATGTGCAGCTTATAAAGCTACACTAAACGCGCAAATAAACCTAGAATGCTAGACAACTTAAGGATCCTATAAGTAAATCTAAACAAGAGCGCACAAGCAATAGAGAGCGCCTTGTAACTTGCAGTAGAACTAGTAATAGACCTTGTACTAGTATAAGAGCCTTAGCTTATTCCTGCTAGACAATCTCCTTTAGATTACTTAGACACACGCTCTATAAATTACCCCTCCTTTACATAAATCCTTCCTTTGTTACAAGACTATAGCACAAGATCACGTGTTTTAGTCTACTCTACACGCACTATACAAGCGCAAGTCACTATATTAGCAGACACTAGTCCTGATCCTAACTTCCTAGCTATTATAGTTAAGAGCTCTAGAATAACTTTCTGTGGAAGCTGAGTGGTCTCTAATTATTAATTAAGTGTGAAGAAAGTGATCAAGTTCCTTGTTCTATCTACGGTGCTGAATGAGCAGAATATATACACCAATGCTTATCTAGCTATACCCTAATTGGAGCCCTAATCACGGCTCCAAGCTATACCCAATTCCGCTCACTATGGCGTGATAGATCGCCAGTGTCTGATTAGTCCAATACCTAGATGCGGATCACGTGATATGCACCCTCACCTTAATCCTTGCTGCGACACACCCCCTAGGTGCCTAGATCACTAATCTAGGTGCCTGTATCGCAGATGAGTTGTTACCTGATTAATTCCTATTAAGATTGCTCTCCTTTACTTTAGTAGGGCTGCTGTTTGCTCTAATGCTGCTCTAATTAGTTAATCTAGTAACTATAATAACTAATTATAAGGTAATAAATAGATCTTTTGTGTAATTACTATCCTTTCTTTATCTCTTTAATAATAATTAAGCTCTCTATACCTCTACCTTAAGTAAGTATGTTAATAATCCTATTCTCTTTTAATTGCTTACTAACTAATTAGACAACTAGACAGTACACGTTTAGAATCCACACAATCATGCCATTAGCCAAGCGCAACGCGTTGTCTGCCAGGCGATTATCTCTAGCTAAGAGGCAGAGGACTGTTAATCCACTAGTTGATCTGCCCCTGAGCTAGACTATGCAGTGGCGACGTTCTTCTGTTGAATCAGAAGTTCCCACAAACATAATGGGAGCCTAAAATTGACCTCCTGTTTTCCTTGACTCTTGATTCACATGAATCAGCTACAGCTCACGTGCGGCCAAGAATGGTCCGAGCGCGTCAGTTAGTCAGCTCGCTCCGCAAACTGCGCAACCCTCCAACGCGACCCTCCAACGATGCGCCTCATCGTATGGCGTCTTTTCGATACCTAAATAGCCGTCTGGCTATTACTTCAACTTACCCCTACTTTTCACGAGTGGTCTTATCCTTCACAGCCAAGGCTACTATTACAGCGTCAATACATTCTCTTGTGGATTGCTCAATGGAACAACCCTCTGAGCTGTTTGACTATACGTCAGGGCGATGGATGTCAGTCAACTCCCCTTCTGCGAGCGCACTCTCCTTACTGACCACTGATGAAGCTGGAATGACGCCTTCAAACACTCAGAACGAAGACGGCTTTTCAACGTCTTGGAACTGAAGCATCTTGCGGCCTCAGCCGTTAACAAAAGCCTAGGAGATGTGGCTTGATTTGAGAAGCTTGGCGAAGGGGGCTTTAATCGAACGTTTCTGATAACAATGCAAGATGGCTTTCAGCTCGTGGGGCGAATTCCTTATCCTGCTACTGAGCCGAAGCATCTAGTCATCGCTAGCGAGGTCGCAACAATGGACCTTCTCCGTATGCACGGCATACCAGTACCCAAGATCTACAGTTACTCGGCTACATCGGAGAACCCCGCTGGCACTGAGTACATCTTTATAGAACTAGTACGGGGGACAAATCTGGGCGATATCTGGTTCAGCCTGCCAGAGAAGGCCAGAATCACCGTCGTCACTCGACTCGTCGAATTGGAGTCTCGACTATTCGCACTTCTGTTTTTAGCAAGCGGTAGTCTCTACTACACTAAGGATTTGGACGATGAAACCAGGAAAGCTGAAGTTTTTACTACCAGCACCTTGTGTAATGGTAGCTTCTGTGTTGGTCCTGATACAAGACTTAGCCTATAGTATGGGAAAAGATTGAAATTAAACCTTAATCGTGGACTATGTACGTATTAACCCTTTACCACTTATGCATTCTAAACCTATACATGCTGGCTGTTCTGCATAATTTGCTATTGGTTGGCGACGTTTACTGAGTGGCTGAAAGTTACAAATCCAGCAGCTGTTCTTGCAGCTGGGGCCAAAAAAGAGATTGCGTACTTAACCAAGTACGGCTAACCGCTCCATCTATTTCAACGTCTGCGCCGAGAAATATATAACTATTAGAAAGTGTCGCCCGCTGAGCATGTACACAGTCTAGACAAATACCTGCAGGCAGTACCTTACATGATACTAAACGGAGACCCCACAATTACTTGCCCAACGCTAAGACACCCTGATCTCCAACCTAATAACGTGTTTGTTTTAGACGATCTCAGCATTACTGGTCTGATTGACTGGCAACACTGCGCATTACTTCCACTTTTCCTCCAATGCGGTATACCAAATAGTCTCTAAAATTACGGCGATAGTATCTTGGAGTCGCTCATACCACCTAAACTACCACATGATTTCGACGAAATGAGTGAAGACGAATAATTTGAGCAGGTTGTGCTCCTACGTTAGCGTCAGCTGCATTATTTCTATGTCGCGGCAACGGCTAAACTCAACCCAGTCTACTATGACGCTCTGACCTGCGACTTCAGCACGTTGCGACGTAAACTATTTAATCACGCAAGCTCTCCATAGGAAGGCGACAACATCACTCTAAAAGCTGACTTGATTGAGTTAGAACAAAACTGGTCTAACATAACAACCTTGAACTTGAACACGAGTAACAATGCAAAACCTGTTTGCCTGATTAGTTTCTTAGAAGACAACGTGAAGCATTACTTGCACCTGAATGCTGTGCAGATAGAGGCAGATGAGCAACTCCAAGCTTGCAGGAATGCTATTGGCATCGGCCCCGAAGGATGGGTACCTTTGGATCAGTACGACGAAATAAAGCAACGTGAAAGTAAGCTCAAGGCCGACGCACTTGAGGCAGCTGAGTCTGAGCAAGAGCGTCTAATGCTACTCGAGCATTGGATATTCGATGATTTCGATGAAGACGAGTACTCTTGATGGACTCCATCACCAGGGTGACAGATTCGCAGATAGTTGCGAACGCCGGAGAGTGCAGAAATCAGGGCCTACACAATACTGCAATGACGAGAATTCAGGATTACACAGATGCGCGCTTACCACTGTCGCACTGGCTGCGCAAATAGGACTAACTGCAACTTCGACAGTCGTTCATACGAGAGTCTTATAATCTTTTCGCTTCACTTTGTGACTTGTGTGGTGAACTCCACTACGTGTTTGAACAAGCAGGTTTCTAGTAGGGCGTGTACGTCTTTGGACTAAATACTTAGTACTGCAGCTTAGACATTGCTGATTAATTACTTAATAAATTCCAGACACGCTGTTTTAGGGCTTTTAGCTTTTCTAGTACATTATTAAAAGAGGGCTTAGAGATTTTCCAAACATAAACTATCTGCTCCTGTGCTTAATCAAATTAAGATGGTTAGGTATGCATAGTTCCATTGCCTGTCCTAGACCAGCAGCTATGTGTTTTTTAAAGGCGAGAGCTAAGTTCAAAGTCTAGACTAAGCACAGGCAAGGAAGTGCTAAAGAGAAGGCTGCAGTAAGCAGAGAAAACTCATCCAAAAAGGGGTAGTAAAGAAGGGGGGTATAGTGCCGCTTTTGATTGATATTTTGCAAGATAGGAGTGTGTGCCTATGCAAGAGTAATTACAAGCAAGCATTCAGCTTAATTGGTATGTTCGACTTAGTTGCAGCAGCCTTCCCTTACCCTGATTTTGTACTCCTAGACAGCATTAACAACGCTATCCATCTCACGAGATTGTTAGAATACATCCACGCTGTATTTAAGTGGTCTAGATTTGAGGTACTTCAGAACAAAGAAGGCTGATCAAGAATAAGACATGATAAGACAAGCTGTTATTAGGTGTTTATTTACATGTTCTAGTCCCTATGTTGACAGCGCTATCCGTAACAGTATCTTGTCCTAGACTTACGCTACACTTTCTTTTGCTTGAGCAAGTCGTAGTAGTGTGTCCTCACAGCGCCTACTAATCTATTAGGGAATTGCTTAAATATCTCGTCCTAAGGCAGTTCCTCTTTGTCTCTGTAAGAGAGGAGGCGATAATTGTCGGACTCTTTCCAGGGTTCGCGTGATGATAGACCACGTACACCGCCAGTAGCGTGGTCGTCATCTTCTTCGCTGCTATTCCCAGCACTGCTCGTCTCAAGACCGGTTGTATCTTGCGAGATGTGCAACTCTGGCTCGAAACCTAGAGATTTTCTCCCTCGCCCAGTGCAGGATATGGGCTCAGTAGTGCGGTTTCGAAAACCAACAAGCAACCAGGATTCTTGTGTCCGCTGAACCCAGTGAACAGTCTGATACTCAGCACCAAAGGTCTCCAAGCCTGGTATCGGTGCCATTGCGTGGGATTGCGGGTTCAAAGCTCGCACATGCGCTATCGCGGTATCAGAGTTGGGTTTGAAATGCAAAGACATCCCGCTGATCTCGAAGAGATTTGGAGGAGTCTTGTGATCATCATTCAGACCACACGGCGTGCTAGCACTCGCCGATGATGTATGATGCTGCCGTCCCGGATCTTTGTCGGTATGTGTGCTGGTTCGCGTCGCCTTCGATCGAACTGTGTCAGAGCTCAGATGCTTCCTTCTTAGGGCGATGTTGTGGGGTTCCTCACGGCGGTGTTGTCGAGGTCGGCACGATGTCTCGACAGAAGCATCACGACACTGCTGAGGCGCGGCCGGCAGCACCTCGCTATGTTGATGATAGAACAAAGCTGAGCCAAATCTGCTACCCTTACCCACCTCGGAGCCGACCCTATCGTCTTCGTTCGCACTGTCCTCTATCTCTGAGGCTTCAGTCGTGCTACATCGGTCGACTCTGAGACGGGCAACAGACACCGCGTCATGCAACAGCTGCTTCTTCGCGTTGTGCTCTAGTCGACCCTCTTGGTCCGAGGATTCGCTGCTGCCATAGTCGCTATCACCCTGCCCTTCCTCACCTCTGGGGTTGATTCGTTGTTGATCATTATCTCGGAAGGAGGCTAGTGACTTGAAGGGGGATGCGAGCTCGGCACCTATTCGAACACCTTTAGCAAACTTCCTACGTTTGCCTGACTGATCGTGGACTGAGTTCCGTCGAGGGCTGGAACAAGGCGCCCCCACGACAGGAAGATTCGCGTTAGCAGAGTGCGACCGAGTCCTCTTACATCTTCGAAGCCGATCAACTCCAATGACATCGCTACAGTCTGCATCCGAGTCGTTTCGAAGCGGTTCTGGAGAGGAGTCAGCTTCGACTGTTGTCCAAGTCAGAGCCGGCACTTACCAGAATAGGCTTTGACGGAGTCTTCCACGATGAGAGGCATATTTGCTGCGTTGACCGAGCTCTCTCGTTCGTAAGTACTAGCTGCAATACTAGCATCGACATCTGGGCCGATGCCTTGAGAGCCTAGCGCCGGATCGCCAAGTCTGTCCGCCACTGCAACGCAGTGCTGATACAGGTTCGATGTTGGTTTTCCCGTGCTGTGTGACATGTGCAATAGAGGTTCTTGATTGCATGTCTGCTCTTGCTCTAATACCTCAGATAGAGAAGTGGGTTCATCGCCCCCACAATCTTCTGCAATAAGTGAGGCGTTTAGCTTACAAGAGCTTGTCTTATTCTCCATAAGGCTTGCTCTGGCCTTGTGCTTCGCCTTGGGCGCAAGGGGATCATAGGGCTTGAAAACGATCGGCTGTTGAGAACGTGAGGCCATTGTGCGGGAGGACAAAGAGTACTTCAGGCCTGAATGACATCCCTTTATAGATCTTAGTGGGACAATTGAGGGGTAAGAGTTGGGCACAAACTGTATTCAACACAAACCTTGCTGCAATTGTACAGCTGTAATATTAGCCTGTCTTGTTCGGCTGCACTCTACCCACACTATTAGGGACTAACTGCTGATCACTGATTGTAGAGTTTGACAAGACGAAAAATGAGCCAATGTGTCTCACCTAATGCATAAGTAGCCAAGTTGTGCATTGTTATCAAGGCTTTGCATGGGGGTCAAGGGCACTTTGATGTTCTCGACACCAACCACGGCGCGACAAGTATCATCGCCAGGCTGCTATTCATGCTGATAGCTACCCCTTTCCTCTGCAGCGTGGCGCCCTTCCATCTAGTTTGCACGGTCGGCCTCAGGGGGCTGCCGGCTGGTATCAGGCGATCGACCATGCAATCAGACGCAGACCCAGTCGAGCTGCGTACGTCGTGCCATGTCTGCATATGCCTGCTGAAACAGGGAAGCAGACCTCACGAATGACGGACAAGTTGTAAAGATGCTCCCACCCTATCGGGTAACACATGATGACATTGCCTCAAAGGGAAAGCAACGGATGTGCTGAAACTATGAAGGAGACAGCACACATGGCGACTGGTCAGGATTCCTTCCTCATTAGGAAATACAAGAGCATTGTCTCAAGCACAAAGCACTTCATGTGCCGAAACCTAGCTATTGGCTGTGCTGTCTAGCTATCTATCACTGTGCCCAATATCAGCAGGTCCGAGCAGTGACAAACGCTCACCGCTGCAGTCGCTGCTCCCGCCGCAAAGACTCTTCGCTTGAAACTCTCCTACAAGTGCTTGACGTCTCGAGGCGAAGAGACGAAGCGAAGGAACAGAAAGAGCAAACGCAATAGGAGTCGAAGGAATAGATCTCCGCAGGATGCTCGTGGGCAGCGGTGTCCACCCGATCCAAAGACTGTTCGAGTGAGTGTGGGTATGAGTGTTGTCTGGTCGAGTCGCAGGGGAAGCGATCCGCACGCTCAGCATGAAGCATGAGACGGTCGTGGGAGGTGTTGGCTGCAAGGCAAGAGTGCAGCCGCTGAGCGAGGTCAAGACTGTAGTCAATCCCGAGCATTCCGAATGGTTTCCTCGTTCGCGCTAGCGCCAACTGTCTATGCGAGAGCCCGGGTTTCCTGAACAGGAGCCCTCTATTTCCTGATGCAGAAATGCCGTCTGATTGTTTACTTGTTGTAAAGTGAATAAGCTCTGTCTTTGCTGCATTAAATTGTATAGCGCAGCTTGCTCCTTTAGCAAATAGGCTTGCTATGTCTCTTTCTAGCAAGCAGACATTCTTCTTTAGGCTAGTAGATGATGCTGTAATTGCTAGGTTGTCTAGGTAGGAAAGGGAGTAGTTTGTAATAGATTAAAACAGAGGTCTAATATATATTAGAAACAGGATTAGTAAGATAGGGCTGCCTTGTGGAATTCCTGCTGTAATGCTGCTAAAGCCCTCTGTTTCTCTATTAAAGGATAGTCTTAGCTGGCGCTTAGATAGGAATAATTAAACCTATGCTATTAAATTGCAAGGTAGCTGTAGCTGTTGTAGTATAGCAAGTAGCTGGTTTAGAGCAACGTGGTAAAAGGCGCCTTTAATGTCTAGGAATACTGTAGAGGTTGTGCGTTTTAGTTTTCTTTGCTCTTAGACCTAGTTTAGCAGCAGTATAGATGCGTCTATTGCAGATTTTTGTGCTCTTCCTCCTAGTTATAAGGGGTGAAGAAGAGCTGTTGTTTCTGCAAGAGTTCTAAGGCGTTTTACTACTACTCTTTCTATAACCTTGCCTAGGCAGCTAAGCAAGGCAATTACTCTATAGGCTTTAGGTGCAGCGTAATTAGGCTTGTTTAGCTTTTTTAGGATAATTCCTGTTGCTTTCTTCTATTCCTGTAGGTAGTAGCTATAGTTAAACAAAGTAGAGAAAATAAAGAAGAATGTTTCTGTCTGTGCTTTATATGCTCTAGTAATAATCTCCTGTGTTAGGGCGTCTGGTCCTGGAGAGCTGCTTTGGATTTGTGCTGAGCAAGCGTATTCTAGCTCTTCTATAGTAAGA